AGGCGAGTACTAGGTAGTGATAATCATGCTAGCTCCCTAGAACAACAGATAACACTGAATATGTTGCGTTGGCTTGAGTACATGCTGCGTATGACTAGTCGCCGCTTTCCTAGGAGGGCCTTGTTCAGTCTACCAGGTGTAGGGTGGCGCAAGGCTCGAGGTGGACAGAAGTTGACTTGGTAGTGGAAACGAAGTCACTGACGACTAAATTTAGTGCTGTCGGTCCGTTTCGCCTTTCCCGTGACTCCCCTTGTGTTTGGCTCGAGACTTTACAGGACTTGGCTCTTAGTCGGCATCAGTGGCGCGTCTGTTTCCGTCTTCTAGCTGGATTGCCTGTTTAAAGTGTGTTTGGTGCTGAGTTATCTGCGGGGTAATGTTTGATAATGACGTGGGGCAGTGAAAGGCGCAAGGAAGCTGTCTCGACGATGCTGTCTTATTTTTGCACATACATATGGATAAAGAAACTCACAGCAGGAACGCCACTGAGGTCGGCTCCTTGCCATGTCAGCAAGTGTATCCAGCCAAACGTGTTCACCGTCTTTTGGACCCCAACCAGGGAGCCGTGAAGTTCCAACCGAGGCCAGCTCCGAAGTGATGGACTTCATTCCTCTGGACCAAGTCATCGCTTGGCCACCTCTCCTCTTCTTCCACCCATATCCCCGTTGAGCAAACAACGCACGTCGAGGGAGTCGGTGGGCCGGCATGCGTAACACGTGGCCGAGCCATCGGAGCCTGGTGCGGGAAATAACGGTGCTAAGCGGTTCAGATCCTTTTCCTGGGCGTAAACAATGCGTTGAACACGCTCGTTACTCACGCGGTATTCCCACCATATGTGAGCCAAACTGCGAACGCACCGATGGTCGAACGTAACTAGCCTCTTCAAGTCCGTCGACCTTAGGGGCCAGGTGTCGCAACCGTACAGTAGGGTCGAACGTACCGCTGCGTTGTACACTCTACGCTTCAGGGCGAGAGTGATGTCGCGCCGCCACCATAGATGGCGAAGGTTAGCAAAAGCACTCCGAGCTTTCGCTATACGGTTCGTGATCTCGTCTTCGATCCCAAGGGCGCTGATACAACTTCCCAGGTAATTGAATTTCGGAACGACTTCTAGCTGATCCCCACCAAGGGTCAGCGCAGGAGGCGATCCCTGCCAATCTTGGAGGAACGCTTTGCACTTCGATGGTGCAAAGCGAAGCCCGAAGCGGCTGACAGCCAGCGCTAATCTGTCCAGCGCAGCTTGGCACGTCTGGGAGCTGTCACAGATGAGGGCAATGTCGTCCGCATACTCCAAGTCAAGAAGTCGTTCTCCTGGGAGTAGCTCCACACCTTCCAAGTCATGTCCTTTAAATGCAAACTCCATGACTTCGTCAATAGCGAAGTTGAATAGGAAAGGTGACAGCGGGCATCCTTGTCTCACACCGCTGGAGATATTGTAGGGCGGCGGCAGCTTGCCGTAAGCCTTCACTCTTCCCGTGCTACGCGTATATAATGCTTGGATAATATTTACATATTTACAATTCCAAAGGGCACATCGATCAACTGAATCGAAAGCACCTTTGATGTCGAGGAACACGACTAGGGTGGGCCGCCAATATGTGTGACGGTGCTCCAACAACTGACGCAAGGTGAAGATGTGGTCAGTGCAGCCACAACCCCGACGAAACCCGGCTTGCTCCTCACGAATCTGGCTTTCACGAGTGCCAGTCAGTCTGTGAAGAATTATGGAGGCGAGTAATTTGGAGGCGATGGAGATCAGACTGATTCCTCTATGGTTGCCGCATTCCGAGCGCGAGCCTCCTTTGAAGATGGGAACAATAACGGAGCGGCTCCAGTCGGTTGGGACAGTCTCCTGATCCCACAGTTTCACTAGTAATTCATGTAACGCATCAATAAGAGAAGAGCCTCCGAATTTGAAGAGGGCTGGAGGAAGATCATCTGGTCCCGCGGCTTTGTTCAACTTCAACAGTCCGATCTGACGTTCGACTTCTGAGCGAGAGGGTGGATCCAAAGGGACAGCCCACGGAGCAGGGCGATCAGTGACCGGCGAATCGAACAATTCTAGCCGATTAAATTGCTTTTCAAAATGCTCGGCCCAACGCTGCAAACGTTTTGACAAATTGCGTATAGGCTGTCCACTCTCATCACAAATCGTTTCACTAACACCAGGCCTCCTGCTGCCCGTTTCCCGTATCAGACGGAATAACTTACGATGGTTGCCAAGGGCAGCGGCCACTTCCATCTCTGACGCACGATGAGACCACCAAGATTCGCGGTCTCTCTTCAGGCTAGCGCGGAGTATTGCCCGGAGCTTTTTGCGAGTTTCATTGTGCTCGCTTCCATCCGGGATATGCCGGCGAGCGTTGATAAGTTCTAGAGACCCAATGTCCATGTTGGCTTTTAGACATACCACATGAGGATTTGCCTGCTGCTAGTAAGGTCTGGCGAACATGTGACCAGTGACCATCAATTGTCTCCTGTGAGCGATTACTCAACTCGCATGTCAGCGTACTTTGATACGCATTCAGAACAGTTGGCTGGTGTCAATGCGTTCACAGCGTCGTCGTGGGCGTCCGCCAAAGCGCATCCGCATGTCAGCACATACAAGTGCATGATCGGTGTCCACACATGTGCTCCAAATCGAGCGACAATTCTGGATGCAGCCGCTCCGGCGGTAACTAATAGCAATGTGATCGATCTGCGTCCAAGGCTGGTTCGAGGCTGGTGGGCGCCAAGTCACCCTCCGGCGGGTGCTGTGTCGAAAATTAGTGCTCGCAAAAAATAAGCGAGCATTTTCACACAAATGAAGTAACCGCTCACCGTTATCATTACGGGAGCCTACACCGTGCTGACCGCCCAAATGCATTTCATCAGTGGACAACTTTCCAACTTGTGCGTTCATATCCCCCGCCAGCACAACAGTGTCCGTGCTTCTTCTGTGACGAAGGAGCTGAGTCAGTTGACGGTAGAAGTCGTTCTTTACCGAATCATCGCTACAGTTTGTGGGCGCATAGGCAGCGATGATGAATAGACACCTATTAGTCCCGCGCGACTTCGAAGCTTTAGAGGAGCCGGCCAATCGGACCGCACACATCCGGCTACTGATTGGAATCCAATCAACCAGAGCAGCTTCAGCCCGGGGACTCAGGGCAATGCCAACACCAGCTTGGCCGGTGCTCGAAGCTGCATCGTCACCGGATAGGCGCACTGAGAAAATACTGTTTGCGTCACCTGAAGGGGATGGCAAAGGGAGCACAGAGCTTGAGTCTTGCAGGCGGGTCTCTGATAAGCAGCAGATATCGATCGGGAGGGTATTAAATGTTCGGGCAAGTGCTGTCTGTTGACCGATCTGTTGTAGTGTGCGTACATTGAGGCATGCCAATCTGAAGGAGGATCGAGGGCTCCAAATGGAAGCCGATGAACTGGAATGGGCCGCTTGGTTGGACATGGGCTTGTCGACGGGAGAGGAGTGATGCTCCGCGTTCACATGTGAGTTGAAATTAGAAGGTAAATGCCTAGCAAAGCATGTTGGGTGAGGGCCAAGAATCGGGGGGTTGAAAACTGGGGGGATATAAGTGAAGTTGGAAGGGGACGGTAAGAGTGAAAAAGCGTAAGAGGGGGAATAAGAAGACGGGAAGGCTTGAGCAGTAGCATCCATACCCCTGTCCATCCTGTTCGATGCAGCAGATAGGGCACCGTTGATTATCCTCTGCGGTGGTCAGAGCATCAGCAATTTGTTTGAGGTAAGATTCATAGTATTGCGTGGGCAGGATACTGTCAGGTTGCTCAGGCCTAGACAGGAGAACGATTATGGTTCTCAACTAAAGCCTTTGGTTCAAAAACCTGACCGCAAGGCAGCGGGTTTGGCGTTGGGCTACAAGGAGTCCGTTTTAAGGAATAAGGTGCCACCTTCATTCCAACCCCCAACCTGGAGGACCAGGAGGCTGAGTTTGTCTGGCCTCTAACCATTGACCAATCTGGTATGAGTGACTCTGAAGGTGCAAAAGCACCACCCAGCATAGCTCAATGGATCGCTGAGGCGCACAAACCGTCGCAGCACGGTAAGGTCCAGCCTCATTGCCATGGCTATTGTGCAAAGTTATTTATGTATGTATTTCTTTCATGTATTGCGGCACAATCACGGAGGTGATTTTCCCACCTCTAGCTGATGTGGATGATGAATGAATGATTTGCACAATAGCCAGCTGTTTGTGACGGTATGTTGTTTACACAAGGTGTAGGCGCCTTAACCCTGAATGTTTGCTTAGGGCATTAAGGTTTTCAAGTTATTGCCCTTCTCTTCCTCTTATTCTTTATTTCATTGATAGTCATGGTTGTATGGCTGAGAAGCATCATTTCCAATGGCTGATGGACTGTTGTTGATGTTTATGTTAATTACTGGAGGTGTTCCATTCCAGGGCGCTGAGGTCGTCTGCTTAGTTCCTTTAGTGGTCAAAGCCCCTTGACACGTCCGTGTGAAGCGCTCACTACGATATCTTTTGATTTCTGACGACTGCCAAAATCCATGGTTGGCTACGTTGTCGGGTATACTGCGACGCACTTTATTGATACCTTTATCACATTCTCCTTCTGAATCTTGTCATCTTACTAACACTTTCCATCTTTTTCTTTCCCGTGCACATAGCTGATCTCTATGCGAAATGTTCTAATAACATTGAGTTCTACAAGCTGTTTTTTCATCGTTTTAACATTGCGACAAAGAGGGATATCTTCTGTTATTATTCCTAATGCTCATTTTTATTGGTCTTCATTTGTGATTGTGTAGATGGTTGACACTGTCTCTTGTAGCATTTCATCTTAGTGCTCAAACTCATTTCACCGCTTCAGCCATCTCCTCATTCAATTTCAGCTTTGCTGTTGCTGTTCGCACGCTTACCTGACGGACACTGGCTACAAACAAAATCTTCACAACTCAACTTTGCAGAATCTTGACGACCAGTTTCGCCACTTATTTTTTGAGCACCCTGACATACTGGGAAACTATGCTACCAGACACGGTTACACCGTAAGTTCCTTCTTTACCCAATATATTTGTAGGGGCTGCGAAGAAAACACGCGAAAAATGAGTTTTTGGATGAAATGGAATCGTACTTCACCCGAACTCCAAATGCAATCAGAGTCAAAGCTACTAAACCGTAGGTCCCCGGGGCACTTGCGGCTTCCAACGCATTTTTAGGCCTGAAGAGCCGGCTCCATGCCGGCTTTGTTTCTATTTTTGGCGGGAAGTCGTATATCAGGACTTTGGTTGCTCGTGGTTTTAGTTCGGGTGCAGCCGCGGAAAAGAGAATTCCAATTGTCTTAATGCACGGCTTTGCTTCCGGGCTTGGGCTGTGGTGTAAAAACATCGATTCACTTGCTGCCTACCGTCCTGTATATGCATTCGACCTGTTGGGTTTCGGCCGAAGTTCCCGTCCGGATTTTCCAACTGATTCCACTGAAGCTGAAGTGTTATTCGTTGACTCATTTGAAGAATGGAGAGCTGCTATGGGTTTGTCTAAGTTCATCCTTGTTGGTCACAGTTTGGGTGGCTACATTTCCACCTCCTATGCTATAAGGCATCCAGAAAAGTAAGTGCAGAAACATATTTGCATTGTCTGCTTATCTGCACACACATCATAAAAGCATGTAGGCATCGTATTTGTATTCATTTCTTATCATTCGGCATCATTTCAAATTAGCACAGCGCTTCCGGTAGCATTTACAAGACTCTGACAGTTGCGTCGGTCTAGTTTCCTAGCATCGATAAACAGTGGATCCGATCACCATGGCTCATGTCCGCACGTGCCGACCCGTAGCTTTAAGAATCACAAGCCTGCCTTGTAATCTGAAGGCGCGGCTTCGAGCCTACGCAGGGACCGAGCGACCCTTGCAGTATTCTTAGCACACGTGCGACTGGTGGTAGTTGCGTGGCTGCGAAGCGTCGGTATTGCGTACAACTGATGCTTTTTATGTCCTCACATATGAATTATTAACGACTCCGGGAAGATAACTGGGTAGTAAACGCCTATATATGTGCGTAGAGAAACGAAACATTTTCTGAATGCGATCAAATCACATCAGATAACGCAGCTCACCATTTGTGTATCATATTCCCTGGCTTGCATTCAGGAAGATGCACGTCTCGATACAACCCAGACTTTGTGTCGCTTTTTCCTTCTCTTCTACCATATCGCGATTGGCCGTGATTTTATCACAACGTTTTATCACAGTGTTTCCAAACATTGCACGCTGATGTAACCTGGCGGATGCCTTACGAACAACGTTCTCTAACCAGTATGTGTTTGTCAACTTAGACGATCCAATGCTGTACTATCAGTCCCCTTGTCTTTAGCTAACCGTACTTCATCTTAATCCATTCGGCGCTTCGAACAGATAACAGTAACTCTTCGCAGGCAATAATGGTCAAGAACGAACTGACTTTCGAGGTCTTCTGTGGGCATTGCCGACATCACAGCGTCCTCGGCTTCAAATTTGTGGTATGGCCCTCACCATATCTGCCTGAGACTTAAAAAAAAACATGCAATTCTCTGCCGTTACTCACACTAACCCGTCTAACGATATGGCCATCACAAGAGTAGTGCAGCCTACTAAATGCGCGAACAGACTGCCAACCCTATCCGGCGACATTGTATTATAACTTGAAAATGGGAAGCACATGCGGTGTTCTACGTCAGCCTCTCTAGAGTCACTCATAAAGATGCTAGATCCGAACCATGAACGCTGTCGCCCAAATAGCTCGTGATGGCAGTTGATCTGACGGGATATGCAAGTGTTAACTTATCAGAATCGACGAGCGCCTGAACATTTGGTTTGGTCAGTTGGTCACCTGCACACAAGAAGTTGCTCAAACCAGCTGGTTTGGAATTGACGGATAGAAAGCAAGCATAATGGTTGACGAGCTCAGTAGCGTTCTTCCCGCAGCTCCCTGACTACGGGAAGTATGAGGTCACCATGTTACCCGTGACAGAATGCCTGTATGTGTTGCGTTCTGATATTTGCATATATATGGGTTGAATAAAAAGTTTTGTGCTTCAAAATACCAAATGCGTAACTGAGTCTTCGATACTTTTTTCAATCTAATCACTCTCAAGCGCAGTACGCTTGATCCAGCGGTGCTGAAGCGCCTTTATTCCAGTAGAACTCTTCAGATCGCGACTTTGATAACCCTTCTACGACTTCAGTGACGTCACTGTTGTTGGGAAACTGTATGCTAGCTAAACCTCTTTTGTCAAGTTTAGCACTAGATGGAAGTCGGAGGGAGTCAGATTTGGTGAATAGGCTTGGTGGGAAGGAAGCTGAAAGGCACAATCGTGGATTGTTTTCTGAATAATGGAAGAGGTGTTGGCTGATGCATTGTCTTGCGTGAAGTGACTCCTCTCATCAGCATACTTGGCCTCTTTTCCCGAATTTTTATCTCTGACCTTTCGGACGCTCACAGTAATACTTTCCGGTGATGGTGTGGCCTCTTTCAAGGAAATCAATCACCACTACACATCGGGAATCCGAAAATCGGATGTCATCACCTTGCCAGCTGACTGTGTAACCTTGGTCTTCTTTGGCCTAGGAAATGATGCACGCTTCCATTACTTTGATCGCTTTTTTCTTTCTGGTTGCAACTTGTGAACCCAGAACTGATCCATAGTGATAAATCATGCCAGCAGATCATCGACATCTGCCTCAAACAGTGCTAAGTTGTTCTTTGACATCACAAGTCGAATGCATTTCTGCTCAGAAGTCAGAAGATGTGGCACTCATCGAACAGAAACCTTCGTGTAGCTTAACTCCTTCCTCAGAATATTATCTGGTCGCTCCTGAATGGTGCCCAAACTCTGCTAGCTGACGAGTTGTTTATCGGCTGTCTTGCATGATCATATCCTTTTCTAGGTGAAGCTCTTCTTCGGTGATGACCGTTGATGATCTCTCTGACCTGGGCTCATCTTCGATGATCTCTGTGCCACGTGAAACGTTTGCACTTAACGTTTAACTGTGGTACATGAAGGGGCATGATCATGTAATGTCTTGAGAATATTTTGGTGGAATTCAGATAGAAGTAAAATAAAATATATATTCTCGGTGGTGATATTCCTTTAGGATAGAAATATTTGATCACTGCACAATGCTCTACTTTCTCCATTTTCACCAAACTGCTTACCCTGTTCAATTCGAGAATCTGCTGTACTAAAAGTAAGAGGTTGAAATATTAATTTGTAGAACATGATTAAGGAAAATTGGTAGTGGCTTTCCTGGTCGTCTGATTTCTGTGCCAGGTTCATAACTTTTTGTTCAACCCACGTATATGGTCATTAACATCCGTTTCCGGGTTTACCTGTCGCTGCAACTGCGAATAACTGTACGACGCCTGCGTTTACACACCGACTACGGGTGACTTGCGCTGCGCCACCCACATATCCATCCATGCACCCACTTCCTCTTTAACCCTTCGTAATAATACTGGGAAGCATGTGAGTTGGAGCCACTTTTCATCAACGGAGCCGGACCGCACTCCTTCACCAGGCAAGCAGAAGCATTCTGTAATTGAGAAGTCATTCCTACCAAACCTACACAAGACGGTGGTTGGTCTGTAGCCCGTTCCACACCTGGTGCATGGAGCCGCTCTTTGAGACTGGCACGGTCAAGAAGACCATTAACCCCGTCTCCTTTGGCAACTGTCTCCTGGAGCCAGTATCATTCAGGTAGCGGTTTTTTGACAGGTTGGCACCTTGCCAACATTCACATCAAGTGCAGCAACACCAGGGGTATCAGTCAACAGCCAACACCTGAAACACAAGAAACAATACACTGCACACTTACGGACCAAACGCAACAATGATATAGCCTACGTTCCACATCGACCGCATTAGTGTCCTGGGTTAGTAAATTGTATCGCAATCATCATACTTACCAATCGCCACGCTGATGGCTAACGAGGCCGGCTTGGTTGAGACCTTCTTCACCACATGTGCTAAAGCACAATGTGCTTAACTTTAATGGTGTAGAATTCATCGGCACCTGTCGCTTCCTCTATCGAAGTTTATTTTCCGCATACACTAGTGCTTTCTGCTGCACTTGAGCAACCGCCCTCTTGATGAGCTTAAGCCATTGGCGCCGATTAACTGTTTTTGATTCCCAACACCAGAAATCGATTTTGTTTTGCGATAAATTTACTTTGATCATATCCCGGTTACGTAACCTTGGCTTTCCCAAGCACTAAGTTGTCCGTCGCAACCAAACTGAACCTTAACCTGGTGCGACAGTTTGCGTACCTCATTGACCCATTGGGCTATACCGGGTGATGCCTCCGGGCACCTTGAGAGCTACTGCTACCAAGTTGGTTAATGGTAAAAGGTCAGACAAACAGTCTTTTGGTTTTCCAGGTTGGGGGTTTGAAACGGGATGGTGCCCATTTCTGTAAAACTAAATCATTACCACCCAGCTGTCTTGCGGACAGGCTTCTGAGCCAAAGGTTTTGGTTGAGAACTCTGCTCGTCCTCCTGTCTAGGTCTAAGCGCCCTGGCAGTATCTCAGCCCACATACAACATGACTTTTTTCAAACATAAACTTCATCCTGCATCGGCCGTCGCGCAGATTATCAAGAGTTGCCTTATCTGCTGCATACAACAGGGTTGATAAACCGAAACACGCTACTGCTGGCGCCTCCTTTCTTTTTTCACCTGTTTCTCTTACTCCCATCCCGACCCCCATCATTAACCCTCCTTCTATAATTCCTATCTTAATTGACAGCAACCGAAGTGCCACTGAAGTAGAACCATCTGCAGCCACCTTCCCACAACACTCATCGGACGCCTATCGGCAACAGCCCCTTATAAATCCACGCTGTCCCGTTTCCATGGCGACATTCAACGTTCGCACTCTAAGACAAACAGGTCAACAGGCTGCACTCGCATGCACCTTGGACACACTGGGTATTGATGTGTGTGTGTGCCCGCAACTGAGATCAATGACCCTAATGGGGTTATTGAATTAACTGCACCCGGCTTATCCTCTTGTTATTGGTTGCACGCATCCGGAGACGCCAATGCAGCACTCATGGGGTCAAGCTGGTGTAGGTATCCTTCTAAGCTCCAAGGCTGAGCCATTGTTGGTTGATTGGATTCCGGTGAACAGCTGTTTATGTGCAGCCCGTTTGACGACATCAGCTAAGGTTTATTCACGAAGTAGTGCAAAACGGTTTGTTTGTAATTTCTGCTTATCCTCTTCTCGATTGCCGTACAAATGCTGTCAAAGACGCATTCTATCACGAACTGAATGCGCTGATGCGCAGTACTACTAGTTCAGATATTATAATACTTGCAGGAGGTATGAACGCACAAGCAGGGCGTCTGAGGTCTTCAGAAGTTCAGCTGGGTGATAATTATGGGCTTAACTCCGAACGGACTGAAAGCGGTGAGCGCCTGCTGCACGTGTGTGCGGAACACCAGTTGTTTCTGAGTAGCACTGCTTTTAGACATAGTGGATGCCGAAGTGTCACTTGGCGTCCCCCTGTAGCTGGCTAGCGATGGACCCAAATTGACCACATTGCCAAAAGTTACAGGAAGCGCGGTTCCATCATGGATTGCCGGTCTTACTGGAATACCTGTGTCGACTCTGATCATGCCTTGGTGCGCTGTCGTTTCTCCATGAACTTTACCGGGAGGCACACCAAGCGTCTACTACGCTTGGCAACTGAGAACTTATTTCAGCCCTCGGTCAGGCAATCTTATGATGATTCAATGTATGCCGAACTTTCGCTCCCTTGTTCTAAGGACACTGAGCTTCAGTGGAATAGGATCTCGGTCACCATGCACGACGCAGGAGCATTTGCTTGTGGCACTACCAGTCGTCACCGCACCAGTCAGTGTATATCCGAGAGGTCGATGAACCTGTTGGAATCCAGAAGAAAACTCCCGACTGGCTCTGAGAACAATGTAACCAGACGGGCTATTAGGCGCGAACTAAAGCGGAGCCTGCGTGCTGACAAGGAAGCCTGGTAGACCAGTCGGGCTCATGAAATGGAGGAGGCAGGAGCAGTAGGCAATTACCGCAAGCTCTTCCAGCTAATCCGCACCACTGTTCGCAGGAAACCAGGGGTCGGTGAGACAATCAGAGACAGCGCGGGTGCGCTGATACACAATAAGGAGCGCCGTATGGCTTGTTGGGCAGAACACTTTCAAGATCAGTTCAGCCGGTCCACTACTTCTGGACCTCTTCCTACTCAGGTGATGCAGGATGAGCCATGGACGGTTAGCTTAGAGCCTCCGTCGGAGGCCGAGGTCCGAAATGCCATCATAGCCCTCAATCATTTTCATGCCGCTGGTCCGGATTCCCTCCCACCTGCACTATTTAAGGATGGAGGTGAGGTCCTCTGCAAAGCACTGACCTCCATATTCGAACGTATCTGGAAGGATTCCGGTGTCTCGGCTAATTGGAGCGAATCGATGATAGTGGCAATATACAAGAAGGGCAGTCGCACAGACTGTGCGAACCACAGGGGTATTAGCCTAACGCCAGTTGTGACAAAATTACTGGCGTCGATTATCGTTCGTCGCCTCACTGCGGAACGGGAATATCGGATTACGGAAGAGCAGGCCGGTTTTCGCCCAGGACGTGGCTGTATAGACCACATATTCATTTTGCGGCAGGTGTTAGAGCAGCGCCACGCATACCGCAGACCGACAATAGCTGTGTTCCTCGATTTCAAGAGTGCGTTCGATTCAGTCGATGGATACATTCTGTTCGAAATACTCACGGGGAAAGTTTTTCCAGGAAATATATGAACATCTTCCGTGCTCTTTACTGGTACACTACAGGCCGCGTCAGTGTCTACGGTGCCCTATCGGATAGCATTCCAACCACATGGAGCGTTCGTCTGGTTTGTCCGATTTAACCGTTTTTGTTTCCTATCGTTGTGGACTCCACCCTTACGGGATCTCATGATGTAGACGTTAAAGTGGTGCCTGGTGAAAGATTAGTTGGTCTTGCTTATTCGGACGATATCGTTTTGCTTTTCGGCGATGTTGCGACGACACAAGCAACCCTGAATAGCTGGTCCCGTTATTTGGTATGCCCTTCGCACCTTCAAAGAGGAATGTGTTGTTGCATCACCACCAGCCACTTGATGACCCATTGACACTTGCTATCGAGGAATTGGATGTGGTTGATCGTTTTACTTACCTTGGCAGTTGTATCAGCAGCGATGGGCACATAGAAACTGAAGTCAGTTCAAGCAATGCAAAGGCCACATCTGCATTATTCTGCTTTGGGCATCTTTGGCGACAGAAGGGTGTTCCCTTCTCTTTGAAAGGCCGTATTCACGGGGCTACAGTGAGGGCCGTCCTACTCTATGGCTGTGCGACTTGGCCGCTTCGGTCTGAAGATCTGAGGCGCCTTCAAGTCTTTGATCATCGTTGTCTGCGAAGCATTGCTGGTGTTGTGTGGCACCAGCGTGTCCGCATCGATGATGTGCGTAGGCGAGTACTAGGTAGTGACAATCATGTTAGCTCCCTAGAACAACAGATAACACTGAATAAGTTGCGTTAGCTTGGGTACGTGCTACGTATGACTGGTCACCGCTTTCCTAGGAGGGCCTTGTTTAGTCTGCCAGGTGTAGGGTGGCGCAAGGCTCGAGGTGGACAGAAGTTGGCTTGGTGGTGGAAACGAAGTCACTGACGACTAAATTTAGTGCTGTCGGTCCGTTTCGCCTTCCACGTGACTCGCCTTGTGCTTGACTCGAGATGTGCAGGACTTGGCTCTTAGTCGTCATCAGTGGCGCGTCTGTTTCCGTCCTCTAGCCGGATTGCCTGTTTAAAGTGTGTTTGGTGCTGAGTTATCTGCGGGGTAATGTTTGATAATGAGGTGGGGCAGTGAAAGGTGCAAGGAAGCTGTCTCGCCGGTGCCGCTTTATCTTTGCACATTAGCCAGTTGTTTGTGACGGTATGTTGTCTGCAGAAGGTGTAGGCGCCTTGACCCAGAATGTTTTCTTTGGACATTGAGTTTTTGTGGTAATTCCCCCTTCTCTCCCTCCTACTGTTCTTTACTCCACTGGTCATCATGGTTGTATGGTAGGAAATCATTGGCTAAAGTGTCTGATGTGTTGTTGATGTTGATCGTTGGGTATCGGCCTCGAATCTATGCTCCGTCCACCTCAGGCGCCGCAGCAAAAGTTTACACTCCAGTGCATACATACCGCTGTGGTGCAGCACTTACGTGTCAGCAACTCGGTCACCCCAGCTGATGCGCAGAATCCGACGTAGTTACTTGATGGTAGCGCCCCAGATTCGGACGTCCTTCGTACAGCGTTCGCGTTTCGCTGCCGTGTAGAAAGGTGGACAGAACCATTGATTTGTGTACCAATGGTCAGCTGATGATCGTTTCAAACACTACACTACAAGTTTCGAAATGCGGCAGCCGCCTTAGATGAGCGGATGCGCAGCTCGCTCGCCGAAACGTCATCACCGATGTGGATTTGCGGCAAGCATACCGATTCCATTGCTTGTGAAGACGGAAATACACTGACCGCCTTGTTTGTGTTGGTGAACCCGAACTTCGCCGTTGTCGAAGCGAGAGGCGTGCTATATATATATATATATATATATATATATATATATATATATATATATATATATATATATGGTTGGCGGCATCCGGTTTCGGATTTGCCTGTCACTGTGGTCAGCCACAGGACGCCTGCGCCTACAGAGGGACCATGGATGGCTTGCGCTGCACCACCCACAGCTCCATCCACAAACCCCATATCCAGTGTAAACCCGAAGGAAGAAGACCGGGAGGCATGCGGATGGGAGCCACATTTCATCCACGGTGCCGGCCCACACTCCTTCACAGGCAAACGCAAGCACGCTGTATTTGGGGAATCAAGTGCACACAAGGCGGTGGCTGGACCGTAGTCCGCTTCACACTGAGTGCTTGGAACCACTCTTCGAGCCTAGCACGGCCACAAGGACCGTGCACCCCGTCCCCTCCAGCAACGACCAACTGTCTCCTGGAGTCAGTATGGACGAGGTAGTGACTAATAGACAGGTAGGCACCTTGTCAACATGCACATCAAGCGCAGCCACACCTGGGATGTCAAACAACAGCCAATCACTCGAAATGCCGATATCGAATAAAGTAAACGCATATGACGACAAAAATACTCGCTAAATGAGCATATAGAAGAAATTGGTTATAAGTGAATCCGTGATAAGTACAAAATGTCCGAAAGTTATTTAAAAAATACCACGCGATAAAATTACGCAAGTTTACCACAATTTGCGTGAGCGACGTGTGCAAGTAAGGAGAAGATTCTCAAGTACGCTGAACAAACCAAATAACATGTAATGAATTTTATCCACATTAAAAAGATCTAGTTTAAGTGTAAGTTGGTTTAGCCCAACTGCGGTGAAGATGCATCATGAATGCAACATCAGCCTATATATATATATATATATATATATATATACCCTTACACGTTTTTACCAACCGGTGGTTGGATGGTTCAGACATCTGGCTTGGGAGCCTGAGATCGCCTGTTCGAGTAGATGCGTAGATGCCGTCCACACCCTAGTATTTCTACCCTGCGCGCAACTGCTAGTGTCCACATGACAGCGAGGCTTCATGGCAACGTCTGGGTAACTTTCATGTTTGTCCTTAAGTCTTTTTATCTCTCATTTCCTTCCACGTTCTTTCGAGAAGAGTTCTTCTCGTGGTGATGCAGTTCATGGAAACTGCATGCATCGTCGCATTGTCATCGGGTCATGCCTGCTTGACTGTATGCATGATTCAACTTCAGACACCATCTGATTACACTCGACTTTTTAAAAATCCCTATCCTATTTTTAATTCAGCTCACTTTTTCTCTCTTGACTGCTATCGCTCTACACACCGTTATTTTTTCTCTATCTTGAGTGTTTTATGACTTACAAATCTTATCGTTTTCACACTATTTCAAACATCTTTCGTGTACCCCAGGATAGCACATTTGATCCTGGTCGACCCCTGGGGATTCCTGGAGATTCCTTTAAGCGAGGAACTAAAGGCCAAACATAACAACTCACCATGGTTATTGCGAGCATACCGAAACCTTTTATCAGGAGGCAATCCTTTGACGATACTCCGTGCGATTGGCCCTCTTGGCCGGTCATTGATCCATCGCGTTCGTCAGGATCTACGTGTTATGTTCGACCAGCGAAGTCTTATATCTGGCGAAGTGAGTTACCCCTATTTCCTCTTTTTTGCTAATGATGACTATTCCACTTTGCTGCAGTTATTCTCAAGCTGCTACTGCAAATCTCCCTGGAGTCTATTAGATTGCAGGCTGTTTCCTACCATTTATCATCCATGCTTGCTGGATTCCCCACTGACTCTAGCGAGTATCTACCCGAAATTGTTAAGGGTTACAGACGCGGTCTTCTATCACTCGCAAATGAACTTTTCACACCTATAGATTACGGTGGCGGACGGTCGCGTAATGATACTGACGTTGGACCCACACATTCCCTCTGCCACGACAGGTCACCATTTTACATGACGTCAAGGGGCACACCTGTTTGCGCGTGGCGATGCTCCAGTCATCAAACATCCGTTCGATACGATGTTTTTAGTCTCCACTTATCTTAGTTAGCTATCCTTAGCAAGCACTTCGATCCAGCTAATTACAATCGGCTTTGATATCTTGGAGCCAACAACATTCAACGTTACCAGTAGATGTGGCACAGGATGGCTTAGGGTTCATGATAATTTTTACCGTAGCGGAACCCAGTTTCTTGTTCTGATACTCGTATTCGTGGCAGCAGATGACCTGCTAATTAAGTTCGCGCGGGTTCCAGCCTGCGTATTGGACCGGGCGACTGTCGCATTATCCTTAGCCCACGTGCGACTGGTGGCGGATACGTGGCAGCGAAGCGTCAGTACTGCGTACCGGCGTACTACTGATGCATTCTTTCACATGCTTACCCACTTCGCTACAGAGTGTGTGGTGGATTTTTATACGTCTTTCCGATAGCAACTGGGATTTTCTCATTCTCCAGTCAGGATACTAGTGGTCCAAGCAGCAGCGAGCGGACGACGAGTGCGAGACAATAAAATCAGGTAGATGGCTAGCTTCTGCTAGCTGGTGAAAGTGCGCTACAAAAATTATTCAAAATTGTATACAGTATAAAATGACTCTTTGTTCCTGAACACCACCATGCTGTTAGATCACTGCCCAGTTTTCGTTTTGACTCTCGAAACGCTATCTTTGCAATCTCCATAGTCGTCTCACTGTTTGACAGTCATGACGCCAAGTGGGGTTCGAATTCGGTCTCATTCCTCATCAGAATATAAAGCGCGCTGTCGCTTCACTACTCATAACCGCTTGCACGCCATTTGACTGAAAGGATTGTTCAATCCGTCTACCTTGAAAGCGTTAGTAACTGGACCGGGCTTTTGATGACTAGTTGAACTAGCGCTAACGTGTTGCAACGCACTGTAGCTGCCTCTATCGGTCAGTAGCACATATGAGATTAGAAATGGATTTTCAACATGGGATTTAGACCCGTTGTCTATGGTAAAGTCACCTTATTCCTCCAGCCTGATGACCACAAGTGCCTTCTTTCGTCGCCTGCTCCTCGTTGTTCGTCTTGCGTCGCTGGTGCGAATACTTCACAGCAGTAGACTACGGAATCGATTTATGTGTCATGGGGATCTTCTTGATTAGTAACACTGGACAAGTTGCATTTGTTTGAACACATATCTGTGGCTCTGCTCATTGTTCCGTGAAAACGCCCATTTGTTTTTCAGGTTTGAGGTGAGGTATGGTTAAACGAAGAGTAACCGCTGACCTAGCACCAGAGAATGGGTTACTGGGTTGGGATCGACGCAACTCATTTTGCGCTTAACTTGAGATATCACGAGTCACGGCTGTTTGTTCTATTTGCGTACGGTGCTGTTCGGTAATGTTAGCTATATCACTGGACCACGTTAGGCGCAAACAGTTTGTCCCGGTGATTCCACCCCACTCACGTCTCTCATCCAACTATTTATACTTTTATGGTGTTGGCAGAGTGCATGCGTTTTCGTCCTAGTTGTTTCCTCCATGTTTCTGTCAGTCTTTGGCCGAAAGGATTACACGTCCCTCGTGTAATCCGGAACTCACCGATTTAAATCTGCGTACGTGCGCGCGACTTCGCGTCATACCCTACCCCCTTACGCGACCGCTGCTGGTTATGTGGCGGCGAAGCGTCAGTACGGTGTTCCTGCGCACTGATGATGCCTCTCGTCTCACGTTATTTTCATCCTCTCTACTTGTTCCTTATAGGCATGGTTCTCCATCTACTGTTGTGTGGCAGTGAAATACTAATGATGATTTGGTGTTTGCAATGATGCTGTTGAACAGGATCAGTTATCAGCGATTATTTTTTCTTCATCACTGCTAGCCTACCAGTTGCCCAGTTCCATCTAGCAGTCAGTCATTACATCCCATCTTACATTTAAGCTGAACTTTTTCTATGATCGGTTTCTGCCTGTTCGTTCTTTCTCCAACATTCCTCTCCCGACTTTCTATCTTTATTATTCTTGAGTCGCGCGGTTCATTGCCCGGATCTGGGCTACGGTAGCTCGCGATATGTCAAGGGTTGCCATTGTCGATTCCGCCTGGTTTTTATGGTTGTTAGTTGTTCGGAGTTAGCTTTACCTTCACCACAAATCTTTCTTCTCCATACTTACGCCGTGAGCATTTCCGTACCATTTGTAAGAGGCTATAAAGTATGCATCAACTGATCGGATTCGCTGCACCGAAATGACACCATCTGGTTAGCATCCAAATACCGGCACAGTTCTTTCACATTGGTTATTTCCAATCTTTAGAAGTTGACCTTTGCAGCTGAGTTGGGAGGCCGACAATGTGTGTTGCCGACGCGATATCACTCTCCCCCTGAAGGGCAGAGTTTACAATGCAGCTGTTCGTTCAACCCTACTGTATGGTTGTGAAACATGGCCCATCTAGTCGACGGACATAAAGTGGCTACTCACGTTCTATCATCGCTGCCTTCGCAGCTTATCTCATGTCCGCTGGGAACACCCCGTGAACAATGATCGTGTTTGGCGTCGCGTATTTGATGCAGGAAGAGCGAGTGAACCGCTCTGCATTATCTCACGCACCAGACTCTGTTGGCTAGGCCAGGTGTTGCGCATGTCAGCACTCCGACTCTCGCGACGCTTGTTTGGGCCGTCGGGGTCTGTATGGAAGAAGAGGGGTGGCCGAGCGAGGACTTAGTCAAGAGAAATAAAGTCTCTCACTTCGAAGTTGGCGTCGGTTGGTGCACCCCAACTGTCTAGCTGGTTTCCGAAGGATGATGAACACGTTTGGTTGGACCCACTTGCTGCTATGGCGAAGAGCCGGCCCCAATAGTGTTTGTGTTGTGAATTGCTTTGTCCCTCCCCTTCCCGCTTATCTTTCGCCTCCGACCTGGATCTCCCTCTTGACGCATAGCCTGTTACTAAGTAGCTTCTCGCCTGTCATTTTAGCATTCTATACTTTTCAACGTCTTGTCTTAGTATATAATAGTATTGCGGCACAATAATTGAAGTGTGTTTCTCACCCTCAGCTTATGTGTAATGATGATGATGAAATTTTTGGTGCGGTTCTGCGGTATCTTTCCCTTTAAGTGTCGGAGTTATCTCGCTCATAAACTGACGCTCATGTGCTTGGATTACGCTCTCGCGTTGATTATTCTATTTTTGACAAAAGGGCATAAGGGCAATTTCTATGGTATACATAGAACTTCATCACACATAGATTCAATCAGATAGCCATCATCCGCCCGAGAAGGCACTCTACGGCCGTCTTATTTGTTCAGGAATCGTCAACAATACATATTCCATCTGATCCTTGTTGGACTGGAACTCGTAACTCGACTGTTGCCAGTCTGTGGTTGCTATCAGTGAAGTACGGGGGACGGCAACGATCGTCGTGATTAAGTTACTAACTATGGCATAGCACCGCTCACTATCCACTAACTTGCAAGTTACTGCCGCGCAGAGTACAATATCAGATGGAATGCGCACCGCGAACGATTCCCGAAAGGAAGGAACGGCCGTACAGTGCTTTTCCGGGCGTGTGATGGCTGTCTCAGCGAGTCTAAATGTGACGAATTTATTTCCAAGCCATTACATTCACCTAGTACTACCTTGTAATCAACACGCTGACCAAACTTCTTATACTGTCGTAGGTTAATTGACGACTTAACTTTGGTAACTTCATTGTTCGGTAGGCGAACTACCCTGTCCTCTGCACGGCAGTAACGTACGAGTCAGTGGATAGTGAGCAGCACTATATCATTTTGACTATCGCTTGGCTGGTCAGAAAGCCGAGCGGCCTCCGTATTCGCTCTGGATCAGTCTGAAGCCTTTTCTTGGCACTTTGTGACTATTCTTTTATGGAAACCAAGTTGTATGGAGACGTTTTCGGCTGTGGACGCACTCATGATCGATTTCTCTCTTATGCCCAACTCTTCGGTCACTGATTTGCAATTACTCTTGGACTAATAGCAATTGGGTGTTGCCCGTCAGAAAACACTGCACTACGGGCAACACCCAATTGCATCAGCTACGGTCCTCGTGATCGAAAGACCAAGGTTCACTTCAATGAGAATCGCGGTCAACATTGAGATTGTGCGTCGCAATCCATCCACACAACGTGTACTTCAAAATGACTCTCAACCTCATACTCTTGGACTATTTTTCTACGCATTTTTCACACTTTACTATGTTCTAACCTACTCCTTCCGATGAGTAATAGCTCGCTGCTTTCTCTCATTCACCAACAGTTTATTGAAATTCCCTCTGTGGAAGTGGAAGAATCCGCACAACAAGGATATCTCGCACGACATCTGATCGATTCCGATACGAACGACGACGACGGATACTGCTGTTACCAGTTTACCAAACATCCGTCCTACTCCGGTTTTCAACAGCCCACTGAACGGTGATGGTGCATCATCAAATACCACTGTGGACGTAAGTGATTTCGATGGGACCGCTGCTCTGGACTACATTTACCACATGAACGTGCAGCGTCCCAGGTTCGTTCAGGTGACTAGTACTCTTTCTATAGTGTTCACTTAACGCTTATTTTCCCGCATCATCCGAAGAGAGACATCCTCTTCAGCCGTATAACAGTGTGTAGCTGGGAATCCCTTCTGTCCATCACGTATTTGCAATCAGTATCAATAATAAATCTAGTCATATAGTAACTTTGTAACTTCATTTACCGGACAAAGCACCCACCGTGGGTACATACACATGTTAAATTATCTCCGGTGGTTTATTTTTTGCATTTCTATTCTCAGATATGACTGTCCATCTTATGTGTCTTAATTGTCTCCCTAAATTCTCACTGCACATCTGTCTACGGCATGCCTTCTTGACATCGAAGTTACTATGATCTTACCCTGTACTGAGTTGCAGGCTACCTTCACTTAGTCAAGTTGCACGTCAATTTTCACAAAGTACCTCTTAGCATTATGAAAGAACTGGGGTTTTCGCGTTTCATCGCATCAATCTCACGGCTTTACGCGCAAGGCTGTGGCTACAGGTTACGACGTTCGAAACATGTATCACCGGTTCCAATCTAAAGGTTTCCCAAGCGACACAATGTTAACTTTACCTGCTTCCTACTTCCCTTTGTGCAAACCTATACAGTCGAAGGCTCTGAGTGGAGTCCTTCAATCGAACCTCCATTAGCATTACTATCTCGTGGGCCAGACTGGAGCTTAGCGCTGTAGATGGATGCCCTTGATTCAAATCTCCCTATCGGAATGTGCAGACATCAACCTCCATATTCCCTCAAGGTATCGTCGACAATAATTTATTCTACTCTTTCGCTTCTTCTTTTCACGAATCACCTCATGTTGAATAACAAAAGATGTACTAACATCATCTGACACACTAGCATGGAGTCCTGGCCATCTGTAGGGTATTTTAACGTCCACAAGCTGCATCACTGCGGTCAACAAGCGGCACTCGCCGTGACTTCACAAGCCCTCGGGGTTGAGATGCGTTTTCACTCCTCAAAATACATGTACGCAACAGTCACACTCAAATTACTATGCGCACCTCAGACCCTTGCCCCGTAGACGGGGTCCACACGTTATGCGTCTCCAGTGATCCCGAGTCGATATGTCGCAGCGTGACGGTGTCGCGGTTGTTCTAGCGCATGCTGCTCTCTTGGACCGAGTTCCAGTGAGCCCGTGACAACGCGGTTCCATAGTAGTATGCATTTTTGAAACATGCATTTCCGTTTATGATTCCAAATAAGAATATCAGAAGACAAAGATTGTGGGATGACATTGTCATTTCGTGCATACTCATCAACCACATACGAGCAACTAACAAGGTATACAAAACAATGTTACATGAAATCAATTATTGATCAAGTGTTTTCCGATTGGTGCGCTGCACACTACCACGGTAGGCTTAATGTCACTGTCAGCTGTTTTTGGACACACCGTCGATCGATCACAATGGCCTCGAGTAGCTTGAGTATGTGAGGCCTTTGACTGCACATGAGGACTGTGAATGACTCATCCGGGTTCACTTGGTGACCGGTGCCCACCAAATGCCTCGTAAATGTGGAGGCAAGTTTGCTTCTGCATTCGCCGCGCGCAATCGTCGCATTTTCCATCTGCTTGCGTAGCCACTTTGGAATGTGTTCATTGCTTCGAACACCCAGATTTCGAGTAAAGCGCGCAACATAGCTGTCACCACAGCTACACATGCCTTTGGATGATCAATGGGACATGCACTGCTTCGACACAGGCGTCTTCACTGAACACTTAAGTATTGGTCTTGTGGTCACGAGCAAGCGTACGTCTGCTGTGTTGTATGTCTTTTTCGTTGATGTTATGTTTTACTTCATGATAATGCCTGCCTAAATAATCGATTAACTTACTCACGCCACGTAAGCATTAGTATACGCGACTTCGTAAAATTTTCGCGCTTGTGTTATGTTTTAGATACTTCTCCTGACATCTTGAAGTTATCGCGGATCTGTTGATATCCAATTTATTTCATGTACTCATTTATCGAAGTCATGTCGGCATATTCGACGTTTTATTCGATAGATTTTGTTAGATATCGTCACTACCAGTGGTTCGCCATTGGTTGACATCCCCGATGTGAATGATGACAAGGTACCTAACCACCACCTCGTCTATATTGACTCCAAAAACAGGTGGTCGTTGCTGGAGGAGACGGGATGCACGGTCCTCATGGCCAGGCTAGGCACTCAGGGTGGCACGGACTACGGTCCAGCCATCATCTTGTGTGCGTTTGATCCCCAAATACAGCCTGTTTGTGTTTGCCAGTGAAGGAGTGTGGGCTACATATGTTATAGCACCGTGCGCTCGATGTGAGTCCATGGAAAGAAATCGCGAGATAACGGCTCCAAAGAAACAGGTTTTCAGTGAGTTGCCTTTCAAATGCAATCACCTCATGGAAGCTCAGTTCGATACGCGGATACGCAGCTGACTGCGCATCTGCTGGTATGTCGACCACACACCCAAGGAAGCAGAAGTGGAAGGCGGTTCCTAATACGTCATCATCAGTGCTGATTTGCGGCAATATTGAAGATTGCACCTCCGGTGAAGGCCGAAAGAGACAGACAGTTTTCCTTGTGTTGATGGTGAGCCCGAATTTGGCCGCTGTCGGAGTCAGAGCACTAGTCATGTGCCGCAGCTCATCCACGCTGTGTGCAAACAACGCACAGTCATCAGCAAACAGCAACCTACGGATAATTGTCTCACAGACTAGGTTTCTCGCACCGAAACGCCGAAGGTACACCAACCCATCATTAATAAGATGTTCCACACGAACATCGTAAGCACAAGCAGTATCAGAAGTACAGAACAACATGGCATGAAGATAAATATTAAACAGACGAGCTATGACACGGCCTTGCTTCACACCAGTGACAACTGCAAAGTCATCCGAGGTCTCTCCACTCAGCTGCACCCTCGCTCGCATACCACTGTGCAGATATACAATTAAACTCACAGACTTACTCAGAGAACCAAACTTAATCAACAGCAACCACAATGCCTCGCGGTTTACCGTGTCAAATACCCTGGTGAAATCAACAAAAAGCGAGTACAATGGCTGGTGTCGTTCTCTACACTTCTCCTGCAACTGATGATCCGCAAACACCATATCTATAGTGCTGCGACCCGAACGGAATCCACATTGCTCTTCCGCCACGTTAGGTTCCGCAACCTGACTGACGAGGCGATTGAGCAGGATTCGGGCAATCATCTTGCCCACACAACTCAGCAGGTTGATGCCACGATAATTCGTGCAACATTGCTTGCTCCCTTTGCCCTTGTACAGTGGTAGCACAAGGGCATCCTTCAGCTCAGGAGGCACCTCCTCCTCAATCCATACACGTTGCACCAAGTGCTGCAGCGCAGTCACCAACGCGGGTCCACCGTGTTTCAATACTTCAGGCGAGATCCCGTCGGCACCGGCACACTTGCTGTTTCGCAGCTGAGCAAGTGCTCTCTGCGTCTCATCTAGTGTCGGCGTGTCCGCCAGACTCGCCTTCACGTCGTGCTGCTTCAGGCCGTTCAATGTAGTCCAATCAATCTCTGAGCGGTTGTTTCCCAGGTCTGCTATGTTTGCGGTCTGTGTATAGGCAACCCATGTAGTAGCACCGATTAGCGTCTTCAGCGGTTCCAACCTCGGTCCAAACACCGCCTTCAAGGAGTCAAAGAATTCCTTGTGTTGGCGGCGTTCGGCGTAGCATTCCATCTGCTTCGCCTTCTCCGTCCACCATGCATTTGTAATGCGACGGAGCTCTTGGGTCAGTTGCCGTCGAATTCTACGGAACTAACTCTTCTTCCCCAAGTCACTGAGGTCTGCCACATGTGCAGCAAATGCTGCATTCTTCTCCCACACCAATGCGCCAACAGTCGCATTGTCCTCATCAAAACAATCAGGTCGCATGCAGTTTGCACGCCCGATGGTCTCCTTGGCAGGAGCTGTCACCTGGCCGCGAATGTGGTACTACAGGTCTCCCGCTTAGGCTACGCATTCCTTATCACACAGGCGTACAGCCATCGCCTTCTTCAGCTCAATACATTTCTTCACAGTACCGAGGGAGAGAATGTTAGATTTACGCCGATTCGCGGCATGCACACTATACAAACTTCTCCGCGCGTGGATGCTCAGTTTGGTCCGCACCAATTTGTGATGAGTACCACACAGCTCAACGCAGTACAGGTGTCATGCGCGCACTTCACGCAAATCACGCTGACGTACAATGACATATTCGAGCACGTGGGCGTGATCACTCCGTGGGTACGTCCGAGTTGCTATCTCACTCGCACTCAGTGCACACCAAGTGTGCGTGATTTTTAGTGGCACACAATGAGAGCAGCCTGTTACCGTCCGCATTCGCTGAACTAATGCCATGCGGACCGATGACATCTGTCCACACCGATGCATCACGCCCAACGCGCGCGTTGAAATCACCCAGCAGAAATAGTCGGTCACTTCTCGACACAAACCGTGTCACGGAGGACAACTGAGTGTAGAACTGATCACGCATGTCATCAGGATAACACATGGTCGGACGGTACATGCTTACAAACGTGGCAAACACCTCTTCGGAGTCGTAGGCGAACAGTCATCAGTCGCGCGCTGATGCCTGTAGCTTCACCCACTAGTTGGTCATGGAGGCGATCGGATATTGCAAATCCGACCCCATGTTCACGTGGTGCAGAGGTGGCGTTGTCCACCCAATAGTACGTGTAGCCGGCAGCAGCTTCATGCTACTTACCTGGCTACGCGAGCCGGGTCACGCCGAGCGCCGCAATATGTATTTTGTAGCGCGTCAGTTCTATCGCGACCAGTGCATTGCATCGCTCGGGGCGCTCACTTGAGTTCCGGTCCAGTAATGTGCGCATGTTCCAACACCCGATGTTGACCGCTGTGCACGGTGGCATACCATTGCGTTAGCGGTCTACTGTATGGGAGGGATAAAACCTGGATTGATGCAAGTTGTGGTTTATTTGAACGGGTTCCCGGA